CTTATGTGTTGAAGGACACTTGGGTTGTTTCCACCTTTTGGCTATTGTGAATAATGCTGCAGTGAACACTGGTGTATATGTATATGTTTAAGTCCCTGCTTTCATGTCTCTTGGGTATATGCGTAGGAGTGGAATTCCTGGGTCATAGGGTAAATCTATATTTAACTTTTTGAAAAACTTCCAAATTCTTTTCCATAGCAGATGCACCATTTTACATTCCTACCAACAATGGATGAAGATATCACTTTCTCCCCATCCTCACAAATATTTGTTATTTTTTACTTTTCTGGTAATATCCATTCTAGTTGGGGTGAGGAGTCCTTGGGTGTGCAGATGGTTAACACACTCACCTGCTAGCTGAAAGTTTGGACTTTTGAGTCCGTCCACAGGTGTCTCGGAAGAAAGACCTGGTGATCTGCCGCTGAAAAATCAGCCTTTGAAAACCCCATGGAGCACAGTTCTACTCTGACACACAGTGGGTCTCCATGAGTTGGAATCAACTCCACAGCCACTAGAACAGACTGGAGTGGGATAAAGTGATATCTCATTGTGGTTTTGATTTGCATTTCACTAATGAGTAATGACCTTAAGCATCTTTTCATGTACTTATTGGCCATTTGTATATCTTCTTTGGAGAAATGTCTATTCAAGTCCTTTGCTCCTTTTTTAATTGAGTTGTTTGCCTTTTTGTTGTTGAGTTGTAGGAATTCTTTATATATTCTAGATATTAAACCCCTATCAGATATATGGTTCCTAAATATTTCCTCCTATTCTGTAGATTGTCTTTTCACTTTCTTGGTAAAATTCTTCTTCTTCTTTTTTTTTTTAAATTGTGCTCTAGGTGAAAGTTTACAGCTCAAGTTAATTTTTCATACAAAAATTTATATGCGTATTGTTATATGACATTAGTTGCAATCCCTACAATGTGACAGCGCTCCCCGCCCCCCACTTTCTACCCCAGGTTTCTTGTGTCCATTCAACCAGTTTCTGTCCTTTCCTGCCTTCTCATCCTGCCTCCAGACAGGAGCTGCCCATCTGGTCTCGTGTATCTGCTTGAACTAAGAAGCACACTCTTCACGAGTATTATTTTGTTTTATAGTCCAGTCTCATCTTTGTCTGAAGAGTAGGCTTTGAGAATGGTGTTAGCTCTGGGTTAACAGAGCATCTGGGGGCCATGATTTCTGGGGTTTCCTCCAGACTCAGCCAGACTATTAAGTCTGGTCTTTTTACATGAATTTGAGTTCTGCACCCCACTTTTCTTCTGCTCTGTCCAGGACTCTCTGTTGTGTTCCGTGTCAGGTGGTCATTGGTGGTAGCCTGGCCCCATCTAGTTCTGGTCTCAGGCTGATGGAGTCTCTGGTTTATGTGGCCTTTTTGTCCCTTGGGCTAATATTTCCCTTGTGTCTTTGGTGTTTTTTGTTCTCCTTTGTTCCAAGTAGATTGGGACCAATTGATGCATCTTAGATGGCCGTTTGCAAGCTTTTAAGACCCCAGACACCACTCTCCAAAGTAGGATGCAGAACATTTTCTTAATAAACTTTGTTATACCAATTGACCTATATGTCCCCTGAATTGGTAAAATCCTTTGATGCAAAAAATTTTTTTCATTTGATAAAGTCCAGTTTACATATTTTTTTCTTTTATTGCTTGTTTTTGATGTCATATCTAAGAAGTCATTGTAAAACAAGGTCTTAAAGCTTTACTTCTGTGTTTTCTTCTAAGAGTTTTATGGTTATAATTGCTGTATTTAGGTCATTGATCCATTCTGAGTTATATTAGATATATGGTGTGAGGTGTGGGTCTGGGTCAGACTTCATTCTTTTGCATGTGGAGATTCACTTGTTCTAGTGCCATTTATTGAAGAGACTATTTTTTTTTCCTATCAAATACACCTGGCATCCTTGTCAAAAATCAGTTGGCTATAGACGTTTGAGTTTATTTCTGAACTTTCAATTCTGTTCCACCAGTCTACATGCTTATCTTCATACCAGTATCACACTGTTTTGACTACTGTAGCTTTATAGTTTGTTTTGAAAATGGGACATGTGACTGCTTCTGTTTTGTTCTGTTTTTAAGATTGCTTTGGCCTTTTGGGGCCCCCTGCAGTTCCATATGAATTTAGGGATTAGCTTTTCTGTTTCTGCAAAAAAAAAGGCGGTCAAAATTTTGATAGGGATTATGTTGAATCTGTAGACTGCTTTGGGTAGAGTTGGTGTCTTTGCAGAAAGTGATTAAAGGTACAGACCTTGAGATTGGAAGATTATCCTTGATTGCTTGGGTGGGCCCGGTTTTAACAGGAGTCCTTAAAAGTGGAGGTAGAAGAGTGGGTCAGAGAGGTGTGGTGTGAGAACTCCATGCACTTTTGCTGGTTCTGAAGGTGGAAGAGGAAAGTGATAAGCCAAGGAATGTGGGCAGCTTCTAGAAGCTGGAAAAGTCAAGGAAGTGAATTCTCAGAGTCTCCACAGTAGAATGCATCTCCTCTGACAACTTAATTTTAGTCCAATGAGACGTGTGTCAGAACCTACAGAACTGTGCAATAGTAAGTTTATGTTGTTTTAAGCCACTGAATTGGCGATAATTTCTTACAGCAGCAGTAGAACAGTAATGCACAGGACAAGAGAAATCACAGGATGCTTAGCATGGGTTATCATAGGCTTATTTTATTGTTGAGTAGTATTCCATTGCATGCACGTACCACTGTTTCTTTATTTACTTATCAGTTGATGCCATTTGGGTTGTTTCCAGCTTTTGGCCATTGTGTATAAAGCTTCCATACACAGTACAGGTTTATACTTCTTGCTCTTGGGTAATTACATAGGATAGTATTGCTCAGTTGTATCCTAAGTGCATGCTTAACTTTATAACAGATTGCGAACTGTTTTTTGAATTAGCTGTACCATTTTACACTCTTACCTGCAATGTATGAGTTTTCATTGCTCTATATCCTCACCAGCACTTGATGTCAGTTTTTTTTAAATCCATTCAAATATGTAGTGATATCTCATTGTCATTTTAATTTACATTTCTCTATGAGTCAGGGTCAGGTTTGGTAGGGGTTTTTTAATGAACAATGATACTGACCATCTTTTCATATACTTATTACCATTCGTATTCTATGGTGAAGTATCGTTAAAATCGTTTACTCATATTTTTAAAGAATGTGTTTATTGGTTTGTAAAAATGATTTACAGGCTCATTATAAATTCAAAAAATGCAGAAAAGTACACATGAAATATAAATCATTGTAAGTCCCATCACTCAGAAGTAACTATTTTAATATTAAGTTAACAACATTACAGACATTTCTTCCTCTATGTATATATAGAGGTAGGACAGACGGATGGATGCATGGATGAATGTATGCATGAATGAGTGGGTGGACAGATAAAATACATACAAATGAGATATTATATATGCTGATTTTTTAACTATAATTCATATACCATAAAATTCACTCTTAAAGTCCACAATTCAGTGGTTTCTAGTATAATCTCAGAGTTGTGCAACCATCACACTCCCTTACTTTCAGAGCATTTTTCATCACCTCAGAAAGAAACCCTGTACCCATTGGCAGTAACACGATATTCCTCACCTCGTTCAGCCTCTGACATTTGCAAATTTATTTTCTGTCTCTATGGATTTGCCTATTCTAGACATTTCATGTAAATGGAATGATATAATATGTGACCTTTTGTGTCTGGCTTCTTTCACTTGGCATAATGTTCTCCAGTTCATCAGTGTTGTAGCATGTATCGGAACTTTATTGTTTTTATTCACAGGAATAGTCACAGTATTCCATGTATGCCTGTACCATGTTTTGTTTAACTCCTTATCTATTGGTGAACATTAGGGGTGACATCCGCTTTTTAGTTGCTATGAATAAGGCTGCTATGAACATTTGTGTACAAGATTTTGTGGGGAAATGCATTTTCAATTCTTTTGGGTTTAAATAGCTAGGAGTGGAGTTGCTGGTACTCATTTTTTAATTGAGCTGTGTTCTTATTTTGGAATTCTAAATGTTGAATTAACAAGTGTGTGTATCTGTTAAATCAGGTAACTCCAAGAGAGTTCTGTGTTCAGAAGAGCTAATTTTGATGTAGATTTAATGAAGGGTTTTTAAAACCTTGGGTGTCTTCCAAGCAGAATATTATTTAATGAGCTTAAAGAATTAACCTATATTGATTTGAATTGCTTAAAAATACGTAAAATAGGCCCTTTAAGTTATTGTTATTTTATTTTAAATATTTCTTCTGATTTAATTCTTCTAAATCCCTTTAGTCAGTCATTTTATAAATATTAATAGATACTGCCTTTTGAATGTCAGGCATCACACAAAGTTTTGGAGTAAAATATACAGGGGAATAACCAAACCTACAATTAGGCTTTATAATATGTGATCGTAATTATTTTGTAATATTGGTGGCTGTGATGTTAACATTTATGTCTCTTTCCTTTTCCCTCTTCTCACAATTCACATTACCAGATGCTGTTGAGTCGAATCCAGCTCAAATGGTGACCTCATATGTGTTAGAGTAGAACTGTGCTCCATAGGGTTTGCAATGACTGATGTTTCAGAAGTAGATTGCCAGGACTTTCTTTCCAGGTACCTCTGGGTGGACTCAAACCTCCAACCTTTAGGTTAGCAGCCTAGCACTTTAACTGTTTGCACCACCCAGGCACTACCCACAATTTACATTACTCTTCCATAAAGGATTGTTCAAGATACATATATAGATAAATCTCCCAGTTACCTTACCAAAAAAACCAAATCTATTGCCGTTGAGTCAACTCAGAGTAGAACTGTCCCATAGCGTTTCTAAGGAGTGGCTGGTGAATTTGAACTGCCAGCCTTTTGGTTAGCAATCGAGCTCTTAACCACTGTACCACCAGGGCTCCCAGGTTCCTTTGTAGCTGTCTGTGAATTTTTTATTTCGGTGTGCATGATGTGGAGTGTCACACTGTAAGTAATGGAGACGTGCCTGTCGTGTTGTTACTTTCAGCATTGCTGACAGACAAAGTGCCCTGGAGGCTGAGCTGAGGACAGTGCAGGCCTCGCGAAGGGACCTGGAGAACTTCCTCAAGTGGATACAAGAAGGAGAAACCACAGTTAATGTGCTTGAGGATGCCTCTCAGCGGGAGAATGCTCTTCAGGACAGTACCATGGCCAGGGAGCTCAAACAGCAGATGCAGGTACGTGCATGGGAAGCTACAACCAGTATTTTTATTTGCGTTGTGCTCTTTTGATCCATCTATGTGAAATTTACTACTGTTAAAAGATAAGATTGTCACCTTATTCTGTTATGAAATTTTGCTCCCCTGTGAATAATTTGTTACTTGAAACAAGACCTTTAAAATTCTTTTATTTAATTATACCCTGTTTTATGCCAGTAGTAATTGTTTATTTAGACTCATAGGCTCATAGATACTCTGTTTTCTGTCATTTTTAGCCCTGTTACAATCAGCCTTATTGAATCCTCAATTATAAGGGCATTTTCCTTCACATGCAGCTGTTTCTTTTTCCATTTATTATAAATACTTAATATAAAGGCCACAGAGGCACTGTGGCTTAGTTTACAACTAAGAATATCAGCCTTGAAGGTATCACTTTTATATCTTTACCTTGATAACTATGATTGTATATTCAGTGTGAAGTTTGAATGTTTCTTCTCCATGAACTACGGTAATATGAAACCTTCTCTTTAAAAAGAACTTATGAGGAATCTTATGAGGCATGTATGAATCTTTTTTTCTTCTCCTAGTATTACTGCTCAGAGCCCTTGAACCTTCCATTTTCTCTGCGTAGAATGCCTACTCCCTTCTCATGTTACAGCTTGGTTCAAAACCCATCTCAATGGCGAAGTCTCCTGGCCTATCACAGTTTTACATCTGGTCACTTGTTTGTGCCATCTGTTCACACATCCATTAGACAGTGTGACACAGGCTCCATTGTCATCTCTCACGTGGTTCTTCAAGGGCAGTGGTTAGATTATTACATATTGTTGCCTACGCATTGCTGTGTGTGCACATCCTAAATAAATACTTTGACTGCTGCCCTTAGACCCTAACGTCACTGTTAGAAATTCATTATGATGGCCCCTTTTGAATCTCTTCTTAGGAACTCTTTTCCCTTGAAATATCAAAAGACTTTTTGTAAAATGTTAGCCATATGTGGATATGGACAAAATAGGCTTTCTTTGAACTATTATTGTTCTCATAGATTTTTGCTAAATTGGAAATTATGTGTACTAAAATGTTACAGAATTTAAAAAAAAGAAACTTTTTGGGACTAAACTTACTTATAACTTCTTCCCAAGCATAAGCACTATTATGGTGTCTTTCTCTTGAGTTCTCAAGATTAATTTGCTGGAAATCTATGTTTAGACATTGCTGTTAACTATCGGAATAACTCTTCTTTCTTCTTTTTCTTTGCACAGTACATTTGGGTAATGAGTGTGACCAAGTGTTGAAGTTGAATCTGTTCTTTTGTCTCAACCTCTAGAACCTTATGAATCACCAGAAATGTTAACTGATAAAACTTTTAGCGATTACCTGATTTTTACGGGTTATAGAGGGCTCCAACTGTGGATAGATACTAGAATATACTATTTTTTATGACTTCAAGAACTATAAGGCTGACCTATAAATGCGTACTTATACTTAATTTATGCAATAGTACTAAGTTCAGTAGATATCTAGCCTATGCACTCGAATAGGAAACAGTTTATAGAAGATAAAAAAGAGGCTTGAACCTTGGTAAACACGGCCCTGTTTTAGAGTTTAATAATGTTTTGTGGCACAATTTTATCTTGGAATATAGTCTCGCCATAGCCAAAACTTCTCTCAGTATTTAATAACTGTTCAAACTGTGGAAGAGATAAATGTGAATAGAAATGTTTAAACTCTTTCTAAATAAAAATAAACTAAGCCCAGGATTACTTGTCTTACAGCAAACAGCATCAAGAAAGAAAAGTTGCTTTCTAAAATACTAAAATTCAGTAAAACATTTATGGTAATTGCTTCTTAATAATGATTTAGTGTTGCTAAAATAGTCTGTTTTGGTTCATAGGAAAATTAAAGGGAACGTTTATTAAGAGCCTATTAAAATCTCTTTTGTGTAATCTAAAGATAAATACACACATTTGTTTACGTGGAAGATTTTCCCCATTGTATTAAATTGCATTATTTCCCATCTCCCTGCTGCTTTATTAAATACTCTTTATTTTAAAACATCCTCTCCATTTTATTCAAAAAAACAACCTGTGATTTTATTTTGGGCATCTATAGGCAGGTGACTGTTGGAGAAGTAGGACCTCTAGCTGAGTATTTCAGAGGCAAGGGGATTTTTATTTTCCTGTGGGCTTTTGTATTAATGACTCTCCTTTCGTGCACGTGCACAGACATTTAAAATGGAACCTTTGCAAAGAGTTCTGTTGAAGGCAGATGAATGTACAAAAGCATTTGAAATCATAAAATAAATTTTATGGTGAGGTGGTGGTGGTGACAGGTGGTTTATGTATGCATTAAGGATGACAGAATAAGGTTCTCGGAGTATCTGAGCTCCATGCATAAGAGGCGTGTGTAGGACTGCTTACGTGACTCATTCCCCGGTTATGCCGTTTCACGTCTTATGACTGTCTGTTGCAGGCCCCTGGGAGTATTTCATGAAGATGAAGAAGTTTCTTCTTTTTTCCGTTTGAGGTGAATCTTGGGTAAATTTTGATAAAAGGATAGTTTGGAAACACAGTGGAAGGTGAAGATTCATTTCTGGCTGGAAAGATGCCATGATACATGCCATTTTTGTGAAGGGAAGATGATTGTTTGGATTAGTGTATTTATATTTCATTGCCCTGCTGCAAGTCTATTAGGTTTTAATCCTCAACAGAGCCAGTGTCAAGAGAAAACTTGAACTTTCAGATACTTGCTGGAGAGAAGCTTCTGGAGAATTGAGTTGGCTCTGTCATAGAGAGTCTTGTATACCATGCTAAGTATTTTATATTTTATTCCGGTGGCAATGAGGAGAAGTCATTAAAGGATATTAAGCATGAGAGTGCTGCAATGAGATGTCTGCTTTGTAGGAGTTTAGTTGATGGCATTATAGAGAATGGATTTAATCTGGGCAAGACTGGCAGCAGGAGATCTGTCAGGATATTGTTGTAGCCATCCAGGCTGGAGGTGATAGTGACCAGAACTGAGGCAATGGCAGTAGGACTAGACCTGGTGACTTGATAGTATAGGAAGCCCAAGGGAGGGGGAAGAGGAACAGACAAGGGAGATTGCTGGCTGGTATTAGGTCCTGAGATTGGGAATACAGGAGAAGAAAATATCTGGGCAGGCATGTAAGTTAGTGGGGAGTGTGGTGGGATGGTAAATTCCATTTTGTATGTGTTGAAATACGGCATTTGAGTAACATCCAGGAGGAGATGCATGATGTATTAGTTTCCTTGGGCTGCATAACAATGTATTACAAACTGGCTGGCTTATAAGAACAGAAATTTATTTTCTCACAGTTCTGGAGGTTGAAAGTCTGAATTCAGGGTATCAGCAGGGCCATGATCTCTCTGAAGCCTTTAGGGGAAGATCTGTTCTGTGTCTCCCAGCTTCTGGTAGCCCCAGGCATTCTTTTACTTGTTAACTTTGTCACTCCGGTCTCTACCTCAGGTTTCACATGGCATTCTCACTGTGTGTCTCACTGGCTGTGTGTCTCTTCTTTTATAAGGACACCAAGCATATCTGATTAAGACCCACCCTACTCCAGTAGGACCGTATGTTAATTTAACTAATTGTATCTGCAAAGACCCTATTTCCAAATAAGGACACATTCACATGTATCTGGTGTTAAGACTTCAACAGATCTTTTTAGGGGACACAGTTTAACCCAAAACACCTGGCGTGCAGTTGTCACTCTGGCTTTGTATTCAGATGTAAGAATTTGGCCAAAAATGTCGAGTCTTTTTTTTTTTTTTTTGCTTTTGAATGAAAACCTATTATTGACTTCCCAACCAGTTGATTAATTCAAATGCACTTATTCTTAATTTTCTCGCCTGCATTCTAGGATATTATTATTATTTTAGTTATATTTTAAAATTTAAGTTCTAGATTTTAGTGGTACCAGTTAATTGAGATGCTGTGGTTCTTTCCTGGGTAAAACCCTGTTGCGTGGCTTTCTTTCTGGGGTAGTGATATGATAAGTGACTGTTTTTACTTCTAATAATTTGTGTTTAGGATTATTGTATTTTCATCTGCGATGTTCCTTTTTAGCTAAATTTTCATCCTCTTGTTCCACAAGTACAGACTTTCATTGTTTAGATTGTCTTAGATCTTTCTCCTACCCAGCACTGTATTTGGAGCGTGAATATGTCTCTCATGGAAGCTTCACCCACTACTGGCTGAGGGATAGGAATTATAATTTCATGTTTTTCAAAATAACAGCTTATAGTGGTATAATTCACATACTATACAATTCACTCATTTAAAGTGTACAGTACATGGTAACTTTGGTGAAAGGTGTGACAGTATACAATACTGGGGAAGCCAGCACAGCTTGACCAAGGTAAGGTCCTGGATGCTCCATGGATAAATCTAGACTCCCTGAAGGACTGAATTACTAGCCTGAGGGGACAATGGTCTCCAGGAACATCTAGCTCAATTGGCATAACATACTTTATAAAGAAACGGTCTACATCCTACTCTGGTGAATAGCGTCTGGGGTCTTAAAAGCTTGGGAGCAGCCATCTAAGATACTCCACTGGTCTCACCCCGTCTGGAGCAAGGGAGAATGAAGAAAACCAAAGACACAAGGGAAAGATTAGTCCAAAGGACTAATGGACCACAACTACCACAGCTTCCACCAGACAGTCCAGCACAACTAGATGGTGCCTGGCTACCACCACCAACTGCTCTGACAGGGATCTCAATAGAGGGTCCCAGACAGAGCTGGAAAAAAAGATAGAACAAAATTCTAACTCACCAAAAAAAGAAAAAAAAGATCAGACTTACTGGTCTGACAGAGACTGAAGAAACCCCGAAGAGTATGGCCCCTGGACACTCTTTTAGCTGAGTAATGAAGTCGCTCCGGAGGTTCACCCTTCAGCCTAAGATTAGACAGGCCGATAAAATGAAATGAGACTAAATGTACACAGCAGCCCAGGGGCAAGGACTAGAAGGCAGGAGGTGACAGGAAAGCTGGTAAT